AACAAATGAGACAATAGAAAATTTTAGCATTATCAATGATATACTCAGACAGGAACACAGTACCTCCATCCCCTTTCAGCCGGCACATATTGCACACATACTATCACAGTTGTGAGGTCCTAACAAATGAAGGAAGTGTGTCCCTAGCTCACTGTTAAAAACAGAAGCAGTTTTAATGAGACCCTCAGTCACTTCACAATATTTCTATCAAACGGTACACAAAGCAAAATAACGCCAAAGCAAAATAACACCAAGTGGCCCTAATGGATTTCTTTCTGGGCTGTCGCTTTCCCACCAGCTCGTGGGCTGCTGAGTCGGCCTCGTCCTCAAAGTGCAATATGCACTCAGCGTCTGAACGGGAGAAGCCAAGTAGGCTTCTAGTCCGGGCGGTCAGGAGCGAGGCCCTGCAGCTGAAAACGCCATTAAGTAGAACTTCTTCCTGCTCAGATAAACAGATAATCAGCTATGGTGAATTAAGAGCAAAGACTGCAAATGCTCACACATTTCGAGTATTCCTTAATGAAACCTGCTGTGATTTGCTTTTTTGCTCAACCCCATCCAGAGTTGTTGTTTTTTTTTAATTCTTTTGAATGAAATAGGAAGTTCAGTTAACTTACGAGACTCGTAAGAGCACCTGCAACTTCAAAAAATCTACCATAAAGTAACAACCACATTAAAATGATATTGCTGCAATCTGGAAAACCATGAGAAAGATTTAATGTCACCCCAAACTTAATTAAACCAGCTTGTGCTTATTTAGCATTTACCTTCGCATCATTGTTGATTGCTCCACTAAGGTATTTTTGTGCAAACAGAGCTTCACTAATTAAATAGCTTATATCCGAGCCATTCAGTGACCTCACAACACCCACTGGGCAGTGATCATCACACTCGGGGTGACGGACGGTGAAGGCAGGGGCGGGACAAGGCCCACAGGAGGAGGCCTAGCGAGGTAAGAAGATGCATGGGCTTTGGGGGGGGAGGGGAGGAAAATATGCATAATTTCAGAAATATTTCTGATATCCCACTCCAAAAGAGAAGTATGTTCTGTTTTGACCTCCTGCACTTAACCACATATGCCTATATGACAATATCTGAATATCTGAGCAACAATACAAGCAAAGGGATCTCTTTGATTATGTTTATAATATTAGTGAAGTGATATTTTCATTATGGATTATAGTTCCTACAGAATATAAACTCACAGTCCTGGGGAATTTCTGGAACTGACCTGTATGTCCAGAACCTGAACCACAGTGCTGTGATTTCAATATATTTGTCTCAGTAACTCTTGCTGAGAAGAGAATGAGAGCCTCAGATAACATTTTTTCACACCTAAATGCATTCTTTTCTTTGCTTATGATTAAACTAAAATTTACCAATAAGTAACATATTACATATAATCTTCAATATGCTTGAATGGTGGTGATATAAAAGGCGAATGCTAATAAACTAGTTGAGAAATGCAGATAATGATGTTGGTTGACAGTTTATGGGAAGTCAGAATCCCAGTCAAGTACTAGAGTTGCATGTCATTGTGTTTATTAATGACTAAATAAATATAAATAACTCATGAAGTCAGATTTCTAGCAGAGGCATGACATAGCAGATCTTAAATTACTTCCTGGTATCTTTTTCTCAAAAGTAAAGTATTTGAGGGAATGAAGTGTGAAATGCCTCTTTCCAGATTATATGTTTTTGGTGAAGGTACAGAAAAGGGTTAGGACTCACTTATATACTGAATCTCAAAATCATTTAAATTTTATGCTATGTGATCAATGAATAAAATATAATTCACTGAAGTTAAGAACTTAATATTATCATGTCAAAGAGAAGAAAATGATTTCTGTAAACAAGAGAAAAATATATCACAAAACCTGCAGGTGAGTGACTTGAATATTATTCATTTACATTTAAATTTCATGTTCAAATCTGTATCTTTCAGAATTAGGCTAAATACAAAATATATGTATACTATATATTGAGTGCTAAATAACTTTTATTAATAATAAGATATTTAAATTCAATTTAAATTCTTTGTTAATTGTCAATGAAAATAAAGAAGAATGCTCTAAAATATTCTTCCTGGTCTATACTTTTGCTATACCAAAGTATTATTCAGATCTTTTGAAATTTAATTAATATATACTGATAATTCCACATTCCAAGAAGGTCCTCATACAAATTAGAAACTTAGGAGCTACTGTGTAATTTAAAATTTTTATTTTAATGTAAACAGTAATATGTAACACTGCTTTACCACACTAATCTACACATGACAAGAAATGATTTCATTTAAATGTATAATCCAACTTGATTTTTATAAGTTTCTCATGCAAGTGACCTTGCCAATATCAATGAATATTTTCTTCAATAATCAGCTTTTTGTTCTGATCTCCTGAGTTGTTCTGATCAGCTGAGTTGAACAGATAAAAGGAAAAAAGTCTACATCCTAAGGCTTAGAGTTTAATTTGTTTTGTTCTCTCATCTTATCTATAAGATAAGGTTAAAATGAGAGGAAATAGAAATTTTAAGTGCTGTGCTCAGTGTTTTCCTCAGTTAAAAAATTTACATTACATTACAGTTTATGTATCTAATCAAATTTTGAATTATTTTCTATTTTCCTTAATAAATCACTACCTTTTAGGTAACAGTGTTAGGATTAGGGAGTGACCAAAATTTTCTTTTTATATAGTTCCAATAAACTATAAGAGAGAACTTCCTTAGAACTGATTCAACTATTCCATTTCCTTCAAAAATAGTTTTCACATCTGAAATATCCCCTTGGGTTTTGAGATTTATATAACATAGTATTTTGATTTATTTTTAGCATTACCTCAAAGCAAGAAATATGATAGAGACATTCCTGGTGCACTGTTACATTGCATTTACAAGACAAGCAAACAAACAAAAAATCAAGTTTAAGGTTTTATATAAAGTATAAGTAAAAATTACTTATTTTAGAAATTTTGAAGTTATGAGTGCTATTATCTAACTACAATTAATGAAAAATACCTGTGCTATACTCCAAAATCCTCATCCTCCCCAAATCTTACTCAATTCTCACTACATTACTGGATTACTCAAGTTGTTTAATCAGGTCACTACATTTAATAATGCAAGATCCTGTATTATCATTAGCCCCAAAAGTTGTTTTTCTTTTATAAGTCTTGCTGCACCATCATATTTTCGGTGTAGAATTCATTTGCTCAACAAATAATAATTAAGAGTTCATGGAGTGCAGACAATGTTGTTCTGTGGTCTGACACCAACGATGTAACACAAATCTCTGCCTTCATCTGGATAATGTACACCAGCAGAGGATATATTGGAATCTCACTCCTTTCGGAAATAACACTGGAACATGGATATATTTGCTTCAGCTCCTTCTGGATGAAACTCTATAAGGTAATGGGGTCGTAACAATTCACTGCTTCCATCCCTTGTAAGTGTTGAAGAATGTGCCTCATTTTTAAAATTGGTTCTAATCCTGTTTCTCCATGTAGTTTCTAGCCTAATTTAGACCAAATTCGTGGAATCTGACAGGTATATTATCTGAAAAATTATTATACACTTAGCATTTAAACAGACTTAGACTTTACTAGTACAACCCTTTAATTTTACTGATTTAAAAAAAAAAGAAGTCTATAGGCCAAATAATTTGTCTAAGATCACAGTAGGTGACAGGGCTAAATCTAGAATATCATGGGTAATATTGCAAATCCTGGAATTTATGAAATGGGATTTCTATGAGTCTCTGCCCAACTTCCTAATGTGTACATATGTTAGTTCATTTGAAAGAAATCTTCTTTAAAATTAGAATGAATAAAATAATGAGTGAGGATCAATTGACAAATACATCTCTACTATTTATTAAACATGAACACCTGAAGCTCAGTTTTGACTCAGTCATCGACAATTTTGCAGACGTTAAGTCTCAAAAAAATTATGGTGTTTTATTTATTACTCTGGTAGGCTCCTAGAGCTATAAGGGCTTTTCCTTTCCATCCCAAAATACAGTGGTGTAATTAAAACATATTAATCTGTGGCTTTTTCCTTTTATACAGTATTTGTTTCCTGCTTCTGCTGTTATCAAATTACTACAAAATGAGTGGCTTAAAACAACATAAACTTATTATTTCCATAGTTCTGGAGATCAGAGGTCCTAAAAGTGGGGCGTCTGCAGGGCTGCCTTCATTCTGCGATTTCTAGAAAAGAATTTGTTTTCTTGCCTTCAAAACTAACTTCCAAAGATCGTCTGCATTTCTTGGCTTCCAAGGATTAGGCTGTGGACAATCTGAGGGAACTAGTATTATGTCCACTGCATATACACACATGTACTGTAATATTACATATTTATGCATTTCTTTATTGTATCTATCTATGTCTATATACATGCTTATACATATAACACGTATATATGCAGTTCAATAACTAAAATTTTTCTTTGTCTTTTCTGGCAATTGTTATCCTTTATTTCATTTCATGATTATTATTGAAAACAATTTTTTGATATGGGAGAAAGTTGGTGTTACAATTAAATAATCCTGGTGTCAAATATTCTAGGTATACTTCTGGCAAATAGCCTGTTATTTCTCTTAAATAAAACAAATAAACATTCACAGGAACCCATTAGTTAAGTTTCTAAGTCAAATACACCATACATCTGAAAAAAAATTAGCTGCAAAAACTTTATTCATAAAACTCTTTTTAAATGTAAGAATGAGAAGGTCCTTTTGAGGGGTTCTGTGCATTTTTTTCAATATTGGTAAAGGAAAAATGTCTAGTGACGTTCTTGGTAAATATCAATTTTTCTTTTCCCACTTTTCCATTTGGAAGCAGGTGTCCAAATTGCTTCCTTATTTTATACAGTAACAGAACACAGCAAGATACATTTGTTAAAAACAAAATCCCTAATGACATATGGAAGCTGTTTCTTCCCCTTTCTCATAGCGAATAAGATTAATGAACGAAGAGCAAATGGCTGACATAAAACCTACCCATGGGGGTGCCCACGCCATAACCTTTGGAGTCTATAAGGCCGCCGATCTGTGTCAGGTTACAGTTCCGCTGGGTAACAAACTCGATGGTCGTTGACTCCATTAGGAAAGCGTAATCAGAGGTGAGGACTCTCTGGATTCCTTCTTCATTACTTTTGACGAGCACCGACTGCCTTCTGCTACTCATAAAGGCCCACATTTTGTCATATGTGGAGATTTTTGATTTCTGGGGAAAATAAAATATACAAGGAAGATTATTCCTTAGTTTCCATGAGAACCAAATTTAGATGGAATTTAAATGGAATATTGGGTTTACTCATGCTACCTTGGAATTGCATTATTAATAATAGTGATATCTAAACAAAAAAATCTACATCTTTATGAAAAAGTTTTTCATAGCAATTCCTCATTGTATTTCCAGGTATGGTAAAGATTTATTTGAAACATACAGTAAATGAAGAAGGCAATAAAAAAGAAAATAAACAAGATTAATGAGGAGCTTTTGTGCTTATATCTCACATGAGGATCTCATATGTATAATTTTATCTTTCAACATTACTATAACATTAAATTTGGAAAACACAGACATTAGACATTGATGCATAATGTACAATTTTAAGTTTGTCCCCTCCCCCAATTTGCTTGATTATCAGACAGGTATCACAGAAATCCCCAAGTGCATAGGCTGAAGAAATGAAAGGAATTTGTTACAAATGAGGATGTTACAAAAAAGGATGGTAACAGTTTGGCTGAGACACAATCTGAGCACCACAGAACTTCCTTCAGCCTGTTTGAGGACAACAGGAAATCTGTCATTCAGGTTTCCTAACTACCTGGGCCAATAAAACTGAGTAGTTTTTATATCTGACTGAAAATTCTCAGTAGGGCTTTACTAGCAAATCATTACTAAAGGCAAGAAATGGGTTTGTTCAGAAGGCCCTGGTGAAACATAAACATGAAAAAGGTGAGCATCTGCTTATGGACAGGTCACCTGTGAAACCCTTGCCCTAGTTACATTGGGACATAAATACACAAAATTATATGGAAGCTGTGAATACAAGAAGGGTATCACCATGTTGGTTGCACTGTCATAAAAAGTCCAAACTGTTTGCAAATAACTAGATATGCAATCTTTTCCAGCTTCAGCGTGCATTTAGTCCAACGTGCACCAGGCAACAAATGTGATGACATCATTTCTTCCAATAAAAGGCAGGTGCAGAAAAGTATGTAGAAAAATTCTGGCACTATTTCAATGATAAAATGGGAGGAAAACCCTGAATTTACTGGGAAAGAAAACTAAAGGTACGAATTGTGCTTTATTCTAACAAGAATAGCCTGCAAGCTAAGGGAGGGTAGAGATGCGAGCTTTGGTTCTCCAGTGAAACACTGCAATGCGCTCAAAGGCCAGTGGCTCAAAGTTTATCAGAGAGCAGCTAGGGTATCTCCAGTAAGGTTGGTAGGATTACAAATGTGGGCAGCTATGGTGGCACGTCAATTGTTTTCAAATAATCAAATACTGGGAACAGAACAGGGAGATGAAACGTTTAAGGTTATGATGAACTTCTTAACGGAATAATCAAGACCAATAGTGAGATTTTGCATGGACTCATCTGAGTACCCAAACCAGCAGGATAAAGAGGAGGCTCAAACAAGCTCACGTCCTTTCAAAGATGAATTTTTCTCCTAATGTTTTGGATTAAGTAAGGCCTAAATACAAAATAAAGTAAAAATTAGATCTCACCTGCAGATTGTAAGGCGATTTTAGGTAAAAAAAAAAAAAAAAGTTGGACACAAGTTTTGATTTAGTGGATCTGTGACTGATAATAAACACAATCCCATAAATGTTAACACGAAAATTATTTACATAATCAGAACCACCCACTCATCACCCCACAATTTAAACTGTTAACATCTTTAATGGACAGTGATTACGTTACATCCTAACAGGGCTCTACTATCTGAAACCAGAAACAGGCAGAGAGATAAGAAAGTGTACAAAAGTTATATGTTCCTGCTTTGGCCATAAACTGCCTAAATTCTCTGTTTGCTTCCGTTACAAGAACATTAGCAATCAACATGTCTTTTTGCTTTAATTGCACGATTTCCAATTCATGGTAATGTGTTCTACCCAGTGATAAGAATCAAGTCAAATAAAACTTGGGGATTAGTATTTTTTTTTCCAAAAGAGAGGGGACATAATGTTTACAATGACACTAATCATGTAAATAGTACGTCTTTTTCTTTCTAATATTAAAAATACCACTTTCTAATTCAAAGGTTATACCACACAAGCAATTTAAAAGAAAGGAATTACATTTCTAAACAGTACATGAAGGTATCCGTTATTACTATTTTCCTGTGATGAATGTAGTAAACACATCAAACATTTTTTACCACACCTGAGAAGCAACAAAGCAATAAATTTATCCTTACAAATATATGTAATTCAATTTTAAATGAATGTGAAAAGTAGTAGTATTTTACATTTGGAATTTCTAATTGATGATATTAACCTTTAATTGAAAACAAGGATTTTACAAAGCACATTTTCATGTAAAATTCTTGGAATGCTTTCCTGGACCAATTTTTTATTTCAATGAGCACTTCCTAGAAAGCATTACTTATACTCATTTGAAACTCATCATTTCTTATCTTTCATTGCTATATAATTATTCTTATTTGACTTTCAGAAACCAATTGTCAATGATTTTGTACAACTTTACGCATCTTTCCTGTGCGGAAGATGTATTTCTATTATCTTATCATCGCAGAATAGTTTGAGATGAAAAAGTCACCCAAATTGTTGTTTCTCATCATAAAAATGAAAAGATAAATAATATTTCAGTTTAGAAATACTGTTAATGGCAAACGATCTAGGAGGCTTATTTGCTTCTTTTGTTGTCATCTTTTGACCAAAGTTTCCAATTGAGCACAGTCATTTCTTTGCACCTCCCAATTACAGCTGTAAAACAACTCCGTGCAAAAGAGATATGGGAGATGGGATTAAAAGTCATCACCGAAAAGTTGAAAAGGAGGATCGATCTTTAGCATCTCTGGGCAATTTTATTACTTCTATTGTTTTTAGTAATGAAGAGAGTATAGTGCATCATAGGTTTAAAAACAAAAGGTCTGCACAACATGGATTTTCCTGAAACCTGTAGATTTAAAGCAGCTGAGATGGCCTCTGTGGTATCTAGACAAAGCGTCTGATAAAATCCTAGGCTGAATATGAAGCTTAGGATGCTTTTTACCCTCTAATTTTACCACTCACACATAGTTGATTACCTATATCTACATAAGATGTAAACTCTGAATAATGTAAGACTAAGTGGGAAGTAATGATCACTAGTTCTATATTTCTTATTAATGGACTATGCGTTCCGTGAGCCACTTCATCTCTCTAAATGTCAGCTTACACAATAGTTTAATATCTTTGCCAACCTCACAAGATTTTTGTGAGAATTAAATAAGACATTAAATGTAAACACACTATACAGTAGTAAGATACTTCCATAATTTTAATTATTTTTTTAAGAAAGAGAACACATTACTACCACAGGCTTGTGTGCTATTTCTCTTAAATGAATACCAACAGCTCTGGCCAAGATGGCAGGTTGAATATAATGTGTGAACACCTGCTCATGCCCATGCCATGCAACAAGGCAAAAGAGAATGGGACAACAAAAACAAAATTTTAGAGGCTGAAATCATTCTACTCAAGGCAGAATGATCTAACAAAAGCAGACTTTACTGAAAGAATGTCTTAAAAACAGATCCTCAGCTGCTCTTTATCTCTGAGAAGCATGGTGATTGTTCCATCCCACAAAGCAGAGGATTAGGGGTTTTATTCTCTGCAGAAGAAAAAGGGCACTGTGGACATAGGTGAGCCAGTGAAGGCTTATTGAGGCCAGAAGTTGGAGTCTACAACCAGTGCTGAAACTAGCCAGCCCTGCATCCATCTTGGTTCTTAAAATTACTCCAGTAAAATAACAGAAGATTTATTTTTCAAGCAAAATCGAACTGGTCCTGAGAGAGAATAATATTAATAATAATAAAAATAATAGCAGTTAGCATATATAAAGTTCAGCTTATGCCAGACACTCTAAAGTATTTATAAGTATTGAATCATTTTAATTTTAGGAGATTTCTATTAGATGGTAGGTATTTTTGTACTCATTCTGCAAATGAGAAAAACAAAACACAGAGAGTTAATAATTTGCCTAAATTCATGTGGCTACTTCATAGCTAAACCAAGAATCAAACATGGGCAGGAAAAGCTACAGCATTCATATTCTTAATCATTTCACTGTATCAACTCTGTCTAAAGACATGTATTATGGATTCCAACAAAATGACCCACTACATCACCCTACAGTGAAACTTGTAGTTTCCCCACCTTGAGTAAGCACCGAGAGTTTACAGCGAGCCTTTTTAGAGCCTATTATGTGTCATCAAACAGCCAAGGATAACCAGATTATTTGAGGGGATCCTCTAATATGAAATATAAAGAGCAAAACAAAATGGTATAAGTGTCCTCAGAGAGGTAAAAGATACTACACAAATAAAAAAAACAAAAGTTAACTTCAATGAATTCTGTTGAAATAAAATACATTCAGAGAACACACATTAAAAATCTGATATCAAAAATGAAAACCTCAAGTGAAATGTTAGAAAATAAATAAATCTCCAGAAAAGTAGAACAAAAAGTTGAAAAGACAGAAGGAAGGAAAGAATGCCCTGAGGAGGTATCATGAACCAGCATCTGAAATATGAGTCCATGCCAACTACATAAGAAAAGGTCAAGAACTTTCAAGACAGAGGAAAGACAGCTAAGAGATACTATGTGGGACATGAATTTGATGGATTGGGGTAATTGAAAGAAGTACTCTTTGGCTGGCATGCACAGAGTCAAAGAACATGGTGCCGGAAGATGATAAAGAAATAGATAAGGATGACCAAGATGCCTTACAATTTCCCTCCGCTTCCTAAACTTTAGGCAAGTTTCTTCTTTCCTCCAGACCCCTGACCTCACTGTTTCCCAGGCCTTTCCAGAAGTAAGATGGTTTAGACACTGAGATCCCTTCCCTCCCCGCCCCCCTTTTTTTTATTACTTATTCAGAAAATGTATTATTGCATATTTTTCTTTTGCACCTTTGAGATGTAAATCTTTTTAAAAGCCTCTTGTCAGCTTTACAATCCAAGGCTGTCTTTCTCAAGAACCCAGGA